CATGCATAGTTACAAGACGTTTTTCTTGTTATGTGAACTTTTAAGGTCTACTCACTTAGCAGTTTTCAAGTATGCAATATCATATTGTTAACTATAGTTACCATGTTGTTAAAAGTTTTTTCTTTCTAAACTATCAGCTTTCAGAACAGGAAAAATAGAGGGTAGGGAAAGTGAAAGAATCAACTTCCTGGTAAAAAAATTTTTTTTTTAATTGAAGTCACTGATTCATTATGTGTTAATCCTAGTGTATCCTAGTAAGTTTTTAAAGCAATTTAAGGAGAATGCAATGGACTTGTCATTTAACCCTGATGGTTTAGAGCAGGAGTTGAACAAACTTTCCCTAGGTGGCTGGATAGTAAATACTCCAGCTGGTTTAAATAACCCTTTATGCTAACCCCCGCCTCAGCTCTTCAACTCTGCCTTACAGCCAGGGAGGCGCTGTGGGTGATTCTTCAGGGGCCGGGCGCGGCTGTGTTCAGTGAAACCTCTTTTACAAAACAGGCCACCGATGGCCCGTGGGCCTTGGTATGCTGATCTGTCTCTTGGAGACATTCTTGCGATAGGGTAGAATGTTTTTTAAACCCTCAAAAATATTGTTGGTGACTGAGCCATTCAGAGACCCTGACATCCTCTGGTCTGTTTGCTTCTGGTGGTGGTGGCTTCTGAACTCGGTGCCGAGCCTTCCTGGGGGACTCCTTCCTCTGAGATGGAATCAAGGTGCGGCTCCCCCACTGTTTGGAGAAGCTGTATTGCTTCTGCAGTGATGACATTGGTCAGACAAGCTAATCTGATTTGATTGCTCGTATATATTTGCCTATATAATTAAAAACCTCTGTGTGAAAAGTGAGGAAATGAAAAGCTTATTTAACTAGGAGGCTCAAGTTCATGCATTTGGCCGGTTGTCCATTTTCATACGTATGCTCTTTATTTTTTTAAACAAAGTAATCTCTTAAAAATTTTTGTCTTATAAGCAAACAATAATTTTAACCAGCAGACTGAAACTTTTTAAATTAAGCCAGTAGAAAGAGTCTGCAGTTCTGTTATGACTTTTCCAGTTTTTTTTTTTCCAGTTTCCAATGGACTTTTAATGCAGACACGCATCACTTTTTTTCACTCCAGCGAAGCCTGGGATTTCAGAGTTTAGCTAATTTAGGTTAGTCTTTTTCAGTATGTCAGGTGACTACAATCAAATACAGATGAAACACACTCTGAAGCCTAAATTATGACTTTATCTGACATGGCCTGTCTCCCATGCACTTCCATCACCCCCCTCCCAGTCCACATAAACTCCAAGGTGGAGGAGGGAGAGCGTTCGAAATATTTGACAGCTGTGAACTCTGGCTCTGAGTTCCTGCCCTCCGTTTTGGTCAGGCTTGTCATTCCCCGCCTGTGTCT